TAATGTCTTTTGGGAAGGGAAGGGAAAAGTTGATAAAAGTCTAAGACATTGAAAATTTTTAATGCTATAGAAAAATACGTAACTAATGGAAGCCTTTTTCTTAACCAAGGAAGTACTTTACAAACATATGCTATGACATACTTTATAAGAAGTAGGACCAAATGAGTGACTGGTATGGCCTAAAACATTTCTTTAACACATAATTACTTTGCTAATACAAAGACATTTGCCTTTAGAGTTAAATGAGTTTCCTCTATGTCTAAGGGGGAAAATGGTTGTAACAGCTTTGGTAGAAAGTATCACTGAAATTAAGAATTTTAAGACAGTGAAGTAAACATAAAATAGAAGAGCATAAAAACAAAGAAAGCAAACATTAAGATACTAGGGAAAGAATCACCGTGTAGTAGAAAATACTTGGATAACAGGTACTTCTAGGCTCTTCTGCTACTCTGGAAAGTAAAAAACTCCCTGGGCCTCCTATACTTTTCCACCTGTAGAAGAGGTCCGACTGGCTTATTTCTCTTTCTAGTCCCACTTCATGAGCCTACATATTCCCTTTCTTCATTAGTGAAAAATCCTTGACTTTCAGCAGAATACCTGGTTGACTGGAGCAAATATGGCATTTGCAACTGGACATGAACATGTGACAAAGGTTGAGCCACTGAAATATCAGTGAAAACTGTTGTGTGTTAGCGTCCAGATAAATCTTCTTAAAAGACACTTTACATACTTTTTCATTCTGGACATTCTGCTGCTAGGGATGGCTGGAACTCTAATAGCCACTTTGGAAATAAAGTTTTATCTTGTTTAGGCAATCACTAATTTGGGGTTTTTCTAAAACTTGAGAAAGAACTTAATCCTAGATGGTACAAAACACATTGTTTACATATACCATTCTACCATGAGATTAGTTACTCAACGATAAATAAGCAAATGAAAATAAATGCTAGAAGGAAAAGAACCCTAGAAGGAAAGGTCACATATGGTATTCCTACCATTTTCCTACTAAGAATAGGAAGGGTTTAATGTCCCCCTCACCCTGCCCCAAATGGGGTAGTTAGCATGGTTAGTTTAGGGAGGTTAATTCCATATATTCATTATTCCTTCATTATTTCATTCTGTAAACATGTATTAAGCATACTATGCACCAAGTACTAAGGTGCCTGAATAAGACAGAAGAGATCCCATTTTAATAAAGTTTACATTCTAGTAGAAAGGTAAAAGGCACCGGATATTTAATGAGGGAAAATATACAAAGAGCTTAGCTATTCTCCACTGATGACACATTTTCACCAACAAAAATATAAACCAAGTATAATTAAGCTCTTATTTAAAATGAAGGTGTTGAATAAGAACCAAAACTATTTAACATTTGTTGCAACTAGATCAAATGTTTCTAAGAACCTTCATTCATGAAGAGAAAGAATGTTTTATCTATCTTTTAATTCCATAATGGAAAAAAACTCTTGACATTTCATAACATCTTGAAACTTAACTTTTACATAATGCAAAAGAACACAGAAATGACTATGACAAAAACAAAAAGCAAGTTTTGGTAACAAAATTACTCAAGGAACTTAAAATCTAATTGAACCTTCAGGAACAGAGATAATCTAGTCATATAAAGAAATCGTTGATCAGTCAACAAAGGGGCTCAAAATTTGTTGTGTCTAAATAAGACAAAAAGCCAGATTATGAAAAGGCCCAAGCAATTTCCAAGTCTGCCAAGGCTTCAACGAGAACACATTTGTACTCCCAATTAGCTGATAAAAATTAATATTGGGGGAAAAGTGACTGTGGATGTGGAGGTTAACATAAAAATGTATACCTGCTAATTAATCTAGGCATGACAGACAGTGGTTCAGAGCTAGACTGCAAATCTGTAAGATATAACACAAAGGGAGTAAACTGGAGGAGAAAAGGCCTAAAATTAAAAGAACAAGCTACCTGAGGGCAGAACAAGTCATGCATCACTGATGTTTTCCTTACGTACTGATGAATATTGACTAATGGCTTAGAAAACAATGGTTTTAGTAATTTCCTCAAGGGATCTCTACAGATCAAAAGAATTACTTTCCATAAAGAGATGGTTTAGGCACTTCAAATATGAATCCCTTGAACAAGACATTTCACATAGTAATTTATGCAATGGAAAGCCATAGTGAAATATAATGTATTGTAATATAAAGTAATTGTAGCAAAACTGTATGTAGGCAAACCAAGATACGGCCAGCACATATACCACAATATGGCATAATTTAGGAAGAAGAAAATATAAAATATAATATAAATATCGCATATTTATAATAAAGTATGATTATTTCAATACAAGTTAAGACAGTAGAGTGCTTTTAACATGTATATTAACATGTATATTAACATGTAATATATTGAAGGGTGTTAATATTACAGGACACATATATCGGATTCCCAGAGGATTAAAAATAGTTATTACATATATTGACATTTTATTATGTTTCAGTATGCCTTTTACACTTAAGTGGTGACTAAACCAATAACCGTCATAATCTGCTGAGTATTTTTGATAAAACTGAATTTAATTTAAATTTGAATTTAAAAGTCCACGTTTTCATATGAAAGTATACATGTCACAAAAACTGGTGGTATCACCTAACGTCATTGTTCAATCTCAATAGAGATAAAAATCAAGAACAGCAATTCTCTCTGAAAATGGACCTTAAAGGACAGAGACTAAGTCTATTTAATTAATAGGAAATAAAGCATAGATGGTATAGGTTCTTATTTTGGGGTCCAAGACCTATTTCAAGAAACCCAAGAAAAAACTTAAGTTTTATATAAAATTTTGAAGTGTTGGCTATTATGAGATTCTCAAATGAGTATGATATTTAAAGAGGAATCAGTACACCTACAAGTGAGATGATCTTATCGTTGCTGAACAATTTTATAAGACCTTAAGTTATTCAACAGCAAACACCTGGATAACAGTACTGCATCTTCACAGTTACACTGGATAGACCTCTTTCCATTGCAGTTAAAAACAAAAACAAAAACAACCAAAGGTGACACCAAAAACCATCAACTCAAGAGATGTAAGGCTTTTAGAAAACTATATGGGATCTTCTACCGCAGTCAAGACCAAAGGAAAATCATGATACAGTTTCAGCATAAAATTAAAAGAGAATGAAAACACGTTTCTTTGGATATCCCCTTTATAAACCTCTTCCTGGTTTCAAGACCTAATAACAAATTAAGTAGAACATCTCAGATATTCCCTCTCGGAATTTTATGGGTGAATCCCAAATGCCACTCCCCCACAGAGTGGCAGGAAACGCGTTTCTCCCAATTCCAAGAAAGTGGACAAAGCTAAGGTGTGTAAGGACAAAAGACTCTCTCCATCTGTCAAAATGAGGAGGGGACTTGTCACTCCGGTTTGACGGAGTGGGGGGAAGTGGGAAAAGGAAGAGGGGACCTAAATCTTAACTGCTGCACGTGATGGCCTCGGCTCTTAATAAATGTAACCGTGCCAGATTGGTGTGGATATGAGAAAGCAACTCAGCAGCACAGGTGGTGGCAAAGGCAAGAGCTGAACCTCCTGGTGAGGAGCTACGTGGCATTAAGCAAACAGTGCTTCGTCTCCCCCACCCGCTGCTTCCGCCCCAACCCTTTTCCCCTTTGGTTACCAGTTGCTCCAGATGCCGTACAGTAGTTCAACAAAAGCGAAAGAGAGGTTCAGGCACAGGAAGAAAAACAGGTTCCGAGACGTCTTGTCCGACAGGATAGACCTAAGCATGACACAAGTAGGGAATAGCCGGGAAAGTCAGAGGAGTGCCGGACCAGGAGGTTGGGTTCCCCTTTCAGGACCCTCCCAGTCCACCCGTTCCTGTCCTCACACGAACGATGGTGTCCCTGACGCTCCCTCCCTGGACCTCAGGCCATCCTTAAGTCTGGGCCTTTTCCCCTTCTGCCGGACACCCCATTCCCGCAAATACGGCACCCCGCACCTAAACCAGCCTGAGATCTTGCCGAACAGATTGAACTTAGGTGGTTTGTATTCATCGTCCTTGATGGACAGGGGCAACATCTTCTCTGCCCGGCGAAGGGCCGGGTCTACTCCCCTCTAGTAGTGGCTCCGTGGGTGATGGTAGTGACAGTGGTGACGCCTCAGATGGGAATCTGGGAATCCCGCTTGCCCCGGGCCGCGCGCGGCTTCGAGACAGACAGACTCAGACACACACCAGAGAACCCGCCGACTTCCGGCCCGAGCCGCGCAACGCGTCCTGGGACGGGAAAGGGGGAAGGCGGGGCCGAGGGAGGGGCGTGCGCAGTGGGGCGGGGCTTATGACGAGGGTCGGGTTGCGCGAGTTTTGCTGGGGGCAAAAAGAGTTGGCAACTATTAAGTGGTCTAAAGGGCCGACTTGGAGTGGAGTCCCGCCACCTGGACTCAGGAAGAAAATCCTGAGATGGCCACCCACAGACCGGGCTGGCTGGGAGGTTGTGAGCCCACTCACGCCCACTCCGACTGCCTACCATTCTTGTTCCCGGATGCGCTGGCGTCCAGCGCCTGCCCTTTCGCCATTGCCCCTATTAGCATTAAATCCTGGTGCATTAGAGAGCAGTGCTTAAGAATCCAGGCGGCGACATATTCTCTCGCCGCCAGTCCGCAGGAAGCGCAAAGAATGGTTTTGCTGGATGAACTCCATAGGCGCCCAAATCCTAGTAATCCACCCCGTCCCGCCCCCGAAAACAGTGCCTGACCTTTCTGTACTGCCACGCAGGAGGCAATCAATAAATGTCTTCCGAAAGAATGTTAAAGGTATTTAAAAGAGCCTTTTAAAAGGAGATCCTACGAGACCGTGTTGAAATTGAGGTTTGGTTAAGGCATTGCGTCCCCGACAATCTCAATCCGTTCAGAACCCAAAACTCGAGTTCCTACACGTCCCCTTCACTTCCAGGTCATCCCGGAGGCCGCCGCCGTGGCTCTAATTCTCGTGAGAACCCCATAACCAGTTTCAGGGAAGTGCAGGGAAAACTGACTCGTTGGTGGGACGTGAGGGCTTGCGGAGCGCCAAAGGCGAGCCCGGCGGGCCAGTGCTGGGCGCCCACGGTGGTTGGAACTCCTCTTCCAACGCCTCTCTGGGAAATTGTTTGGGTAAGGTCAGGTGGTCCATCACCTGAATGATTAAAAGTTGTTACCCTGGGGGGGAGAAATGGGGCAAAGGAGGACCGGCTTTTGGAGGTGGGCTAGAAACTACAAAACCGAGCTTCTTGGGAACGGCTTTTTAGTCTAACAGGAAGTGGAGCGTCACCGAAAGGGAGGGGCGGCCACCCGGGACTGCCCTCTTCTTCAGGCTCTCTCTTTGTGGGCAGCGTTTCATCCAGGTTATCAATCCAGCGAGTAATGCGGGGTGAATGCACGCTGATGGGTTTGGAAAAAAAATGAAAAATGAGCAAGCGAGACCCCCCTTTCGTTTCATCGTAACCAAGCTGGAAGCAAATAAATCGGCTAGGTCCCACTGCAGTCTTCTGCACTCGAGGTAAGGAAATAGGAAAATGCTCTCGTGTTAAAAATCTTTTTGCAGTGAGAATATATGTGTTTTGCACTCCTTCTTGGAACTTTGTGAGTGTGTGGGGTAGTGATTCTGTGGTTTTATTTTTGAAAATAAAATTTATTCTACAATTTTTTTTTAAATGTTCGTGTTAATTAAACTGCTGTGTAAAAACAGCTAGATTTCAGAAATTAAGTTCTGGAAAGAGTATTTTGTCTTTGTCTTTCTTGGCGTATATTTCATTATTTTAATTTGAACATAGAAATATTTTCAATTCGTAACATTTACTTATATTTTTAGGAAGCTTTTATATTAGCCATAGACTGAGTTTTACTGTACTGCACTGCTGGGGAAACGTTAAGTGGGTACAAACTAGGTTGAAGATAAATATTTCCACAGTGATTGAGTGTTTCTCCAAAGCTGCTTTATTTCAGTATGATGTAACTGGGAGTGGGGGTGGGGTGTGTATATATGGAAATAACTAAATTTCAGCAACTGGTTTCCAGCGTTCTCTTAACTCATCCAGGTCAGCTGCAATCTGAGCCTGTGTTTTTGTATTCTGCCTTTGAAAATAAATTCTACATTTTGCCCTATATTGCTGCAGATGAGAAATTGTTCACCTGGGTTATGGAGAAATCTGCAATACCCTTTTTCAAATAGTTTTGAAATAAGTTGGAGAAATTGAAGTTTAATTTCAGTTACAGTGGTCCTGGAACTCCTAAATTCCCCACTGCTCACTCCCCAGAATATAAGATAGCTATTCCGGTGAGGGCCTTCTTTCAAAAAGTGGCAATGCCACTTCACATCTTTCATTCTTAGACGACATAATTACCAACTTCAATACTAAATATTTTATTAGAAATATAAATTGGACACTAAATCAGGAAAAGTGCTATGAGTGGAAAATGTTTGACATGTCTCACGTGATTTGTCATCTTGAAATAATGTTTGTCCCATATATGTTAACCAGTATATGTTGTCATATCAAAATTAAAGTTAGTTTCATTCATTCAACAATCATTTAATGAGTGTCTACTATGTGCTAAGCTCTGTGCTGGGCACGGGGTGGGGGAAGGGAGGTAGGTTAAAAAGCCTGATAAAGTTCTCTCCCTGGAGGAATTTTATGGGACGAAGAAGCGGGATGTGAGGAGAGGGCAAATCAGTTCAGGATTTTAGAACTAAATGATATTTAAGATGTGCACAAGAGGTGCTTTTGGTGTAGCAAGGAGGAACAACTGTCACCTGATGAGTCCAGATACATGCTAAGCCATCCCTTTACCCCTTCAGTAACTTGAATCGTGAAAGAATATAAGTTTGGAAAATCAAAAATGATTCTTCAGGTCTATTTAGGTGGTCATTACAGATGCAGTATCTTGCTGGTCTCCAATCAGTTCTGAATTCCTTCATATGTTATGGATTTATAAGATCATAAAATAGGTAGATATATTAATGAACATTTTAAACCAATAAATGGATTTCTACCCTGAACTTTTAAATATTTGTTTAGATCATCTACTAATTAATTGCATTAGGTTAACTGTGCAGACTATATGGTGGAAAAATCCCTAACTTCTTAGACATGTGATTAAGGACTGTGAGAAATGAAAGCCAAGAAGATTAAGGGGCAGAAGCTCATCTCCAGCCAAGGTTCCAGCTCCTTTTGGGCAATAGTAAGGAATAGGAAGGATGCCATCTGTCATTCCTCAGTAATCAACGCTGACATTTACCTGCAACCCTATTTTAGACCCTGAGTTTTTTTAGTACTTCAAATTGAATGCCTTATGAACCTTTAGTGAAAAAAGGAGTTTTGATGGTAGATAAAGCTACAGATACTGAAAAATCTAGAAATTGAATACAAGTGCAGGTTGCTAATGCATTCAGAGGTCTTGTTCCATGGCATATATGTTCTGGTTTCAAAAGTGTAAACACATTAGATCATCAGCATGATGTGAGTTTATTCTGCTTCTGGATACCTAAGAGAAAGATGAAAACAAAAAATATAGCAATGTTAGCACCAACCTGAGAGGTAGCACCTACCTAATTGCCTAAATGTAGTTTTTAGAACACAGTATAGCAAATTTTAATTTCTAAAAATAATTCAAAGCCTATGGACGATAGCATTAAAAAGCATTTTTTTAAAATTTCCTGGTGATTGACAAAAACATCACAGAAAATTCTTTGATTTCCCTTAATAGTGCCAAGAGAGCCTGTTCCTATCAATTACTGAAGCCATAAGGAAAATTTTTTTTAAAAATTAAAACTTTACCATAATGAGGTAAGTACCAGTATTTTTTTTTTACTTTTTAAAAATTGTGGTAAAATACACATAATATTTGCCATCTTAACCATTTTTAAGTGTACAGCTCAATAGTGTTAAGTGTATTGACATTGTTGAGCAGCCAATCTCAAGAACTTTTTTAGCCTGCAAAACTGAAATTCTATAACCATTAAACAACAACTCTCCATTTCTCTGTTCCCCGGGCCCATTGCAACCACCATTCTACTTTCTGTTTCTATGAATTTGACTACTCTATATTCCTCATGTAAGTGAAATCATAGAGTATTTGTCCTTTTGTGCTGGCTTATTTCACTGAGCATGATGTCCTGAAGGTTCATCCATGTTGTAGCATGTGTCAGAATTTCCTTCCTTTTAAAGCCTGAATAATATTCCATTGTATGTCTATACCACGTTTTGTTTATCCATTCATCTGTCAATGGACATTTGGGTTGCTTCCATTTTTTTGACTATTGTGAATAATGCTGCTATGGACATAAGTGAAATACCAGTATTTTTATCTGAGAAAAATTGTTTCCTATAGAGGTTTTTTGTTTCCTTGGAAATAAGAGTTTTTACTTGAGCCAGGGTCTGTTAGAAAATACTGTATTGCCTGTTTTAGATCTTATCCGTTGAAATAGTATTCCACGTTATAGTATAAAGTCAATACCTACAAAGTTGAAATATTCTCGTGGACTAGAACAAAGCTGAAAACAGAGACTACTTGAAAGACACTAAAAATACAATGTAGGTCAAGTGTGAGAGTCGGGAGTTTGTTTGGACCCACCACTCTTTCTGTGGCTCAGGAAACATCATTTAATATTCTCAGTCTCAGCTAGCCCATCTACAAGATGGGGTGGATATATTTTAATTCCCGTGTCTCTGAAAGTTTGAAACATTACTGATTTGAGTTGTTAGGTAACATAAAGAGGGAAGAGGTCTGACAACTTCCATTACTATTGCTAAGCTCTGTGAGGGCAGGAATTGATGGTCTTGCTCATTACCATCCCTAGTGCCTGACAGTGCTGGGCTCGTGCATGGTAAGCACCTAGGAAGGTTTATGGACTGACATAACTACTATGGATATTCTGACCTTCCTCTAATAAAGTTAGGAAGCTCATATGAATTAAGATTACGTCTTTGTTAGGTTTAATATCTAAAGCTATTTACAAATCATAATTCATGTGTATGAAATCTGTTTCTCTTAGAGAAACGATTTTGCAGTGTGAGTTTATTGCTGAAAACCAGTGTTGTATAAAAGGAAGAGGGTTCCATAGAATATTCCAGGTTTCTGTTGCCCAACAATCTTGCCTCCCCTCCATCTTCCTGTGACTAAAACAGAGAGAAGTTCAAGTGAAAAGCTTCAGTGTCCTGGAATGGTAAAAGTAATGTATTTGCAGATGTACTTGGCTTCTTTTTGACCCATTTCTGGAACTGATTTTGCATGGCACTGTACTGAGCTAAAAATGTTTTTCTATTTCTAGGCTTTCTTCTTAGGATGCATTGACTCCTTGGATCCTTATAAGTCGTGGATGTTCCTCTTAAGAATAAGGCCATTCCTTCTCCTGCCCTGATATATGCCCATAAGTTTGGTCATCTCCAAACACCACCATCATCATTATCATACAATGAATTGTCAATTCCTGGAGAAAGATGCAAGACGAGAAGGAACTTTCATCTAGCATAATTCAGACCTGTGCACTTTGAGGGTAGAGAAGGCCTCACTGCCTCAGTAACAAATAGCTGGATTGAAGGACACAGTGCTTTAAGAAGCCTTTATACATAATATTTATGTTATTTCCTCTTAAATCAATGATGAGAAAGCAAATCTAATTAATTGGTAGTAGCTGCCTGAAGAAGTATTGAGAAGCAATTTGATGCTTTGTACAGGATGCTTAGGAGGGAAAAACAAAACGCCAGGACTGACAGGCAGCCTTTGCTACTGATAACAGGGTGAGATTAGGGAGGGAGGTGGAGACACAGGTACTTAGTGTCTGACGTCTGTTTTAAATGGTGTCTTCGGTGTTTATTTGAACCTGATTTACCTGTAAGGGAATGGCTCACTCAGTCTTGCTGCCAGGAGAAGAACTTGCTCTAATTTAATGCGACCAGTGCAGAAATTCTTTCCTTAACAGCTTGAAGTGAGAAATGACCTGTTGCAGCAACTTCTGTTTTTCAAATGCGATACTGTAGGAAATTCAGCTATTTATCAATATGTTTTAGCACCTCTGTTTCAGAACTATAGACTCAAAATGCAGTCTATAGTCCTAAGCTTTCTAAATGACAGGACTTAGATTGGCTACTGATGATCATGTATATGTTGTTAAAGTGATTTTCTATTGACAGTATATGTGCATCTGCATCAGTTCAGGCAAATTCCTTATGCCTGGACCTTGGGTTCTTTATCTATGAAACAAGGAAGCTGGCTTAGGAGGGCTCTGAGGTCTCTTTCAGTTTTCTGAGTTTATGATGTGTTTGTATCATAAGGCATATAGATACTGGGGCAGTTTTGGAGACATTGCTTTATCCTTCATTGAGCGTAATACATAGCAGTAGGGATTTCAGGGGCCACCTGGCTAGCAGTGTTCGTGTTCAAGGTAAAATATATGTAGAGCAGGGCTTCTCCACCTTGGCATCACTGGCATGTTAGGCCTGGATAATTCCTTGCTGTGGCGCCTGTCCTGTCCATTGTAGGATGTTTAGCAGCAGCACTGCCATCTGCCCACCAGAGAGCAATAGCATCTCCTAGCCCCCGTCACAGCAATCAAAAATGTCTCCCGACTTTGCCCCATGTCCCCTAGAGAGCAAAATCGTCCCTGGTTGAAAACCGCTGGTCTAGGAGATGCTATGTAACCATATCAAAATAACTAAAAGGATGTGCTCTCTACTCATGAGGAACTAAATAAGTTAACATATGTGCAAAAGATATCATCTGGGGATCTTTGATTTTGCACATGATTAGGAGAAAAAGAAGGATTTTTGTTTTGCTGACATTTACTGTGTTTATCAAAGTCACATTTAGTTTACTATAGGCATAGATGGAAGAAGGGCAGAAAGGGGATAGACTAAGAACTGTCAGATCCCTTTTGGAATGAGGCAGGGTGCCAGGAAATATATATATCAATAGATATAATTTTAAATTAAATAATTTTAATTCTTGGTTCTTTCTAAGTAAGACATAGGTTATCCAGATGTATTCATTTTCATATCCCCCCCATTCAAAACTCAAAGCTGTGATTTAGCTGATAGATTCTTCTCTGGACAAAGGACAGAAGAAAGCTATAAACTGAAATCCAGATAGCTATGAAGTCATCATCACTCTCCATACTGTTCTAAGGCTGTTTCCAGTAGGCCTACAATAAAGTTCCAGACTTTAGCTATTCTCAAAGTACAGAGATGCCACTTGCACTGCAGTCTATAAAGTTTTTGTTCTTCCTTTTCTATGTAGACTACAAATGTAACATACTTTTATCAGGCGATATCATTTAATAAACACTACATGAAATATTTACATTGTCTTTCCAAAGATATAAATTATATCTCTCAAAACATTTTTGATACAAGTAAAATAGGGGATTAGAAGCTATCTGAAAGAGGAAATTTCTATGACAGATAAAGTGGGGTAACTCCCACTTTAAAGTATAGATAAAAGTGAAACAGTCGTTCACGATTATCTTTGACAATGTATATTTATAGTAGGCTATAGAGATGAATCTTCATTACTTTTTCTCCACTAAAACTGCCAGGTAGCTATTAATGTCTGTTTTAGAGACTAGAGACACTGCTATGTAAGTTTTATAGTATGTTACTCCTACTCAGCTGAAGAAAATGAATATAAAGATCTTAATCAGGGTATACTTTAATGCAGTTGTCAGGATTCTTAACTCTGAGTGCTTATAACCAGCCATTTTTATGCAGAACTGAAAATATGTTTTATGAGACCTGCTTTTGAGTCAGTATTAGAAGGATTATCAAGGCCTTTGAACCAAGATTATTAATTCATAATGGTTTCTCTTTGGTTTACCACATTAACAGTATATGTTGTTTTAGTAAAAGGGTGTATACAGTGAAAAAATTTGTGCTCTCAAACCTTAAATCACCATCCTTGAAAAGTAATCATGGTAAAGCTGAAGTTACTTCAAAAATAATTCATTTTGTTCGTATCTTAGAGTGAAGCTATGATAAAAGGAGAAACACAAAATTTCTTTTCTTAACAGAACAGGCTGCAGAGAAAGTCCAGGAGAGAATATCCTTGAAAACTCTCCAAAAAGATTACTGCAAGGGAACATTTCTTTTCAAATCTGGACTTTTGAAAAGTGAGAGTTGCTGAATGACAATGACCATTCCCTTGTCCTTATGAATAAGTTCTTCCTTTGCTTGCACAGGCCTCAGCGCATTATCACATCATGGGGTGTGTTCCCCTGTAAGCCTTGCAATTCTCCAGTCCCCACTTCTGTGAACTTTAAAGAGAGATGTTAAAGGCATGGTCTATATGGCCTCTCTATGTCCTTGCTGACCTGTACAGAGAAAAACTGTTGCTACAGTTAGAAAACACGCCTCACAATGTGAAACAACATCAGGGGAATGTGACTGTCACTTTAACTCCACCACTGCCAAGTTTCCTCGATGAAAAACAGAAGACTGATCGGACATCATTTGGATAGCCAAGTGAGATTTTGTTTGGAACCTAATCTGTTAGACAGGAAGATTTAGACTAGTCTTAGGATTGTCTGTAGAATGGTGGCCTAGCTGCAGATGCCCAACTGAAACCACAAGGTGCAAAATCAAGAGCTTACATACAGACACAGTGCACTTTTTCATGAAGGAAACCAAAATAAACTGTACAGAAGCAGTGTTATACAAGGAAGAACAGTGACAATGGCTTGTACAGTTAGCACACCACAGGTGTGAGTTAGCAGTGAGAAGTCTTTTCCAACTTGATATTATTTATCTGTAATAAGGAATAGATAAGGGTATCTGTTTATTGTATAGCCTGAGAGGAAAAATGGTATTAAAAGTAGTAAGAGTGGATAGACCATGGGTCAGTTAAAGTCATCAAGAATAATAATACCTCATTCTTTCTGGTTCTGAGAGATCTATTTTTTTTTTCTTAAAGATATGTTTTATATGTCTAGAAACTCCTGGTTGATTTTTGTTTTCAGTCTTTTTATAAGTAAATTTCTTTAAGCTTTCTTTTTCCTCATTTCAGGCTTTTGTACTTGAGTAGAGTAGTAGAATAGATCTAGGAAAAGTGCTGAGATGTATTTGAAGGCTCAGCTGCCAGCATAGAAAATGAGGCCATCCCTCAAAACCTTGTGGAGGCTTGTGGAGGAGTAAGTAAAGTAAGTAAATCAAAAGCAGAAAGAGCAGAAGAATCAAACAACAGCAGCAACTGAAAGCCAGCAGTGCTCCAAAACGAGGCAGTAGGGGTGATAATGAAACTGTATTGGAAGCCAAGAAATCAGAGTTCTGGGTATCTGTAAAACAGTATGAGATTTAACCTTTCCTTACATTTGTGACTGAGTTTTGATCAGACAAAAAATTTTGACCAATAAATCTCCAGGCCACATCCCTTGGTTTTTGTTCGCCTACTCTTCTGTAGCCATCTCAGGCGGATCCTGTAGGTATAGTGAGGAATACGAGAGTCCAGAGCTGATGACAATACCTGGTGATCCTCATGTTCTGTGACAGAGGTTGCTTTGGAAGCTCAAGAGGCCTACCTCAGCACATCCCACATTTGAAACTGGCAGTACACTCCCCAGCCCACGATGATGAAAAAGCCTGGGCTCTGGCAGGAGTTTTTTTCCTGGATAAAAGTCCTAGATCCATTACTTCAGTTGTTTAGTAACCTTGAGAAAGTTATTTAACCTCTGTAAGCATCCAAATACTATTAAATGGGAATAATAATAATAGTAAAATATAAACAGGATTCTGTTGCTCCCCTGATCAAAACCCTCCAATGGCTTCCCATCTCACTTAGAATAAAATCCATACTCCTTACTCAGGCCAACAAGATCCCCCATAATCTGGCCCTTGCTTATCATGTCATTCTGATTTATTCTCTTCGTTACCATCATGCTGAATTAGCTTTGAGTTTATTTACTTTGTTACCTGTTTGGCCCTACTATTTCTTCTGCTACTAGCAGCAGAGACTTTGTCTATCTTATTCATTGCTATAGTCACAGAATCTAAAACAGTGCATGGTACAGCAAGTGCTCAGTGGTTATTTGTTTAATTTACTGAGTAAGCACGTACTATGACACGCAAAGCACATAGTACAGGGCCTAGAATGTAATAAACCCACTATAATTGTTTGCTTCTGCTGCTATTACTATTATTTCATATATTAGGGTTCTGCATATGATTTCACTTGGAAAGAAGTTTGCTACCAAAATGTAAGTTTAAAGTTAGTGTACTGAAATATACATATATCAGAACATCAAGTTGTACACCTTACATATATACAACTTTTATGTGTCAACGATATCTCAATAAAGCTGCTTAAGGAATTAGTATACTACCAAGAAAAATATAATCCCATCTGAAAAAAATAATCTCAGTTCCAAATGTTTAGTAGTGAAATGAGGGCAAATTTTAAAATGCACTGCTTAATTCTTCCTGTTCGGCGTGTATATAACCCTTTGTCTGCAGCTGCAAAGCGAGCAGGCCCAGAAGGAAAGGTTTATTCACTGTACTTTTCATCTAAGGCCAAATCACCTTATCAAAGAGGCAGGGTGAACTGAACATGAGTCAGCTAAAAGATGATTAACCTTTCTCCTCAAAAAAGCAAAAACAAAAACATGGTAACTAGTAAGAATGCTAAGATTCTGCATTTTATTTCCATTTCTACTCCAGGTGTTGCCACATCTGCAAACTCCCTGGAAGAGTGATGGGGATTCGAGTACTTCGTTTCTCTTTGGTGGTAATCCTTGTGTTACTGCTGGTAGCTGGGGCTTTGACCGCTTTACTTCCTAATATCAAAGAAGATAAGATGCTCACTTTGCGTAGGGAAATAAAATCCCAGGGCAAGTCCACCCAGGATTCCTTTACTCTCATAATGCAGACGTACAACAGAACAGATCTCTTGTTGAGACTTTTAAATCATTATCAGGCAGTACCATATCTGCACAAAGTGATTGTGGTGTGGAACAATGTTGGGGAGAAGGGACCAGATGAGTTATGGAACTCTCTAGGGCCTCACCCTGTCCCTGTGATCTTCAAAGTACAGACAACAAACAGGATGAGAAATCGACTCCAGGTCTTTCCTGAACTAGAAACCAATGGTGAGTTGCAGCTGGGTTCTTAGTCTGGCAGGGCTCCAGCTAACCAGAGCTGGGGGTGGGTGCGTGGCTTTTGGGCCTTCTACTTGTCTTAATTGTCTGGAGAAAATAGAGAAATTTAATCATAAGAAAGCATTTTGGAAAACTTAAGGGGCAGTTTCCAAGATGTCAAGAAGCAGTCTCCTGGGGAAGAAATCGCATATTATCTTGCAACAATGACAAAGAGGTTAATATTGTGAAAGAAGATATGCTATGATTACATATTACTGCATCACAGAAGTTAGTAAAATGCCATTTAACTTATGCTTAATGTATTTTTTGCCGCCTCATTTTCCTCCCACTCAGCAGTTACATGAGATTGTAATTTGCTTAAAAGAACCTTGGTTTTATTTATTTATAGGTTCATTAGTTTCTAGGATAATGGATGATAAATACATGATAATTTCCCCCTCAGGAAATTATAAAAATCAATTACATTTCAAGTAAAAACTTTTTCTGCTAGACAAATCTCTCCAAGAATACATTTTTTATTTACTGAATTTCATTCAGAAAATACTTCATTTGAATGACTTATAAAAACACCACTGGGGCTTCCCTGGTGGCGCAGTGGTTGAGAGTCCGCCTGCCGATGCAGGGGACATGGGTTCGTGCCCCGGTCCGGGAAGATCCCACATGCCACGGAGCGGCTGTGCCCGTGCGCCATGGCCGCTGAGCCTGCGCGTCCGGAGCCTGTGCTCCGCAACGGGAGAGGCCACAACAGTGAGAGGCCCGCGTACCACAAAAAAAAAAACACAAAAAAAACCACTGTATCTTATAACTTTTTTTTCATTTCCAAACTGTTTGATTTAAATTTTTTTCCTTTCATTTCAGCGGTGTTAATGGTAGATGATGACATGCTAATTAGCACCCAAGACCTTGTTTTTGCTTTCTCCGTGTGGCAGGTAATGTTGCTACATCCTTTATGAAATCATCAGTATAAAGTCTGATCTAGTGTTTAACCAGAGCAGCATGGTTTAATGTGAGAGTCACCCAAACCAGCGTAGACAGTATTTATCTAAAAGATAGATGAATTTGTCATAATCAGATTTCCTGAGCTCAGTTAAGCTAATCTGAAAGTTACAGTATCTTTTATCTGTATTTGATTTATATTTGGTATGTTGGAAAGAAGAGCTAGAACTGACTTCCAAAGAACAATGAGGAAACGATCTGGTATATGATAGAGCAAAGACTAAAATCCAGAGGCAGTTTCGCCTGTATCTCAAATGAGAAGTGTATTTCTGTATTAATATTGCACAGAACTTCCTTTGAAAGAGACAATTTATTACATCCATAAAATTTAAGTCTGATTCTGAGACCATTGTTTAAAAATTAATAATACTGATAATAATTCTGCATGGACCATTGTGGTGGCAGTTTCCTCCACCCCCACCCCCTTAAATTCCAAGCTGGGGTAAACAGGCATAAATTACCTGGTATCTATAAAAACTCCTTTTTCCTACTGAATATGTGTTAATAGTAGACAGCTTTTACAAGTTGCACTACAAGTACCTGAAACCAGAACTGCATACAAATACTTTGAAGCCCTGTCCAATAATTAAACACTGTGCTACCCAATAAATGGTCTAATTTGCACTATAGTAACTCTCCTTAATTAGCGACTTGGGATGTAAGAACATTAGGTATTAATGGTAAGTGGTCACAGTACTCTGCAGATATCATCATTCTCAAAACTTCAGTTTTCAGCTTCATGCCTAGTGTACTGATCAACAGATTTTTTCCATATCAGCAGTTTTTCCAGCCCTATAAATAAAAGCTTCCTAGGCGAAAAGTTCTAATGTAATACTCCAGCTATGAGATTTCTATTTCAGGTAAAAAATCAATTTCCTGAAAATATCAGGGTGGGGGGAAATATGAGAACTGCAGTTAATTAGAACAAGTAAACCATAATTAAAGATGGATAAATATGACTTTAGGTTTTATTCATAAAACCATCAAGAACAGTTTCAATCCATTGCGCAAGATAATTTGACTCCTAAAGTTCTGTCCCATCAGTGCCCTGCATGGTGTAGTGACTTGGGGCCTAGAGAGAAGCAAGATTAGAGCAGACAGGTATCTGTGCCTTTGCACTCACCCATCACCTCCACTTGCAGTGCTTTACCTTTTCCACCTCCGTTCATCCGTGAAATCTCTTTCATCGCATAGATTAAGTGGCACATCTTCTCTGAAGGCTCCCAGCCTTTACACCCAACCCTTGACATTCCCCTTTGCTTCCCAGCAGCACAGTTGTCATCCTGTCCTCGGTGCCCCCCTGAGAATTGCACAGCTGCATTTACAGCTTTTTCACAGTGTGATAATTCCTGGTTCACATATCTGTATCATACCCTCTCTAGACTATGCGTTCTTTGAAACGGGATTTAACCCACCCTGACTTGTGTGCGTGTGTCCCTAGTTTAGTGTCTGTTCTGTAAATGAATGAAACTCAAGTTATTTGTGAGATTGAACTAAACCTTTTAATTCTATAAGTTCATATTTCTTTTCCATGATTCTCTGCTTTTCTTTGCTGATTTTTGTTTTATTTTTAGTCACTCTCATCCTACTATGATTGTTTCAATACTATCCTTCAAAGATCCTGACACATCTCATATATCTATATATATGTCTATATCTATCTATCTATCCATCTATCTATATATATATATATCTTTGAGCAACATGGATTTGAACTGTACAGGTACATTTATACTCAGAGTTTTTCAATAAATACAAACCACAGTACTACATGATCGGTGGTTGGCTGAATCTAGAGATGCAAATCTGTGGATACGGAGGGCTGACTGTAAAGTTATAGACGAGTTTTCTACTACGCTCGGGGGGTCAGTGCCCCTAACCCCTGCATTGTTTAAGGCTCAACTGTATATGTGTGTGTTGTGTATATATGTGTGTATATATATATTTTTTTCTTATGTTTTTAAAAAAGAGACACCCAAGCTGAAAAGAGATAAAAATAAACATCGTTTAAAATCAATGGTGACTTTCAAAAACATTGAAATCAACATGGAAAAACAGTAAAATGATACATGTAAATCCATAATTTTATATATGCCTAAGAGATTAAAACAATTTTTCAAAATAATCACACTATATCTTCTTATCTCCTGTAATAAATATCATTCATACAGTCAACTTCTCTTATAGCAAACTCTGAAAAACCAGACTCTTTGGTAACTCGAATTTATTAATATTGGATAATGTGTAAATTAGGAGAATATTTGTGAGGTTAGAAATTTTGTTAGAGATTTGGTTATGATGAATTGACCTTTAAACTTATCAGTACATAGATTTATGAATTTGTCTGGAGTTAAAGGAAATTGAGATGTAGAAGCCAGGAATAAAATAACATTGACAAATCAGTTTAATTCTTTCTGTAGTAAATCATTGCCTTTCACCATGTCAGCTTTAAAGAAATGCCACACTTAATTGTTCTTTTTCCATCTTTTCAGCAATTTCCTGATCAAATTGTAGGATTTGTTCCAAGAAAGCATGTGTCTACTTCCTCTGGTGTCTACAGTTACGGAGGTTTTGAACTGCAAACACCAGGGTTTGGAAATGGTGACCATTACTCTCTGGTGCTGATTGGAGCCTCATTCTTCCATAGCAAATACCTTGAACTCTTTCAGAGGCAACCTGCAGCTGTCCATGCTTTGTTAGATGAAACGCAAAACTGTGATGATATTGCCATGAATTTTATCATTGCCAAGCACACTGGGAAGACTTCGGGGGTATTTGTGAAACCTGTAAACATAGACAATTTAGAAAAAGAAACCAATGGTGGCTATTCTGGAATGTGGCATCGAGCTGAGCACTTTCTGCAGAGGTCTTATTGTATAAATAAGCTTGTTAACATCTATGACAGCATGCCCTTAAAATACTCCAACATTATGATTTCTCAGTTTGGTTTTCCATATGCCAACCACAAAAGTAAAATGTGAAAGTAAAACAAACAAAAACAAACCTCAAAACTGCTTGGTATTTGAGTAGCTTCTTCATGCTATGGTCAGTTTATTTATTTATTTATTTTTAAGCACATCATGAACTTTTTTCTACTCCAGAAGCCTCTACAAGGGGGAAAAAGTGCTTAGGGCTTCTAGCATATAAAATTTACAGGCACTTCAAAACCCAAGAAGCTGGTATTACCCAGATAGGTCTTCCTGTGAGAAGTTTTCATCCACAGATATGATTCCTTGGTCAACAATTTTATTGTTTACATCCTGAGACCGTTCTACAATTAAAAAAAATTTTTTTAATTGAAGTATAGTTGACTTACAGTGTTGTGATAATGTTCTACAATTTTTTTGACTCCTGGCACTTGCCTTAAGGACCTTTAGCAAGCTGTTTCCAGGATCAAAAACTCAGGACAAGTATTTCTCAGCTTTTTCATTAAAGGATGATTATTTTCATTTGAAGCCTGAAATGCCTCTTCAACAAAAGCTTGTGGTATAGGGAAAAACCATGTGAGGAGAGAATAGTCTCAATCCCATACAAAAATGAGTGGAAATTTTGTGACTATCAGTACTTCCCTTGTGGTCCTTCCAACCAGCCCTTTCCAGGACTAACTTATCCCAGCATGATTTTGGTGTAACCATCAGTGCTTTTATTTCTGTGGATATCTGTTGTGACTGGGAGGGTTAATTTTAGTAGCTAAAGGATGTCTAGTTGTTCACTTGATTTTTGTGAACATTTACTGCATGGATCACAAGTGCAGCCTCTGTTTCTTACATGCAACTTATATGCAGTGAGGAGTAAATGTGTTACTAGATTCAGGTCGTGCATTTTGTCACTGAATCTGACTTTGAGATTGCACATTAATTCTTAGATTTTACACAAAGTATGTATTGTTTAAGAAACATGTATAAAATAACTCTTTTGAAAGAATGTTTAAGTAGGAACTGGCAGAAATTACAACCCTTACTATCAAATGATCTTTATTGTTATAAAAGCGTAGGTTTATCTCCTGGATACTAAAACGTGTGTATTACACACTAAGTCAAGCTCTTGCATTCAGAACTTCTTCCCTCCACACAGCAAAAGATCCAGAGATCATTTCAATTACATAGATACAGGAAAAAATAAGAGACCTGAGTCATAGTAGAGGAATTCCACAGGGAGTCTGCACCAGCTGATTGTTAAGTTGCCCACTTCCTGTTATGTGAATTAGTATCTTTTCCACACGGTGTCTGTGTTTGGTCCTCGTTCACTATTGGTGGAAAGGAATACTCAGGCCTCTTTCTGCCACCTTCTCCTCTTCCTATGCCCCCTCCTGCTCCCATTATGCCGTTATATTCTCAAAATTGCAAAGCTATGAAAATAATCATGGTTAATGTTCCAACAATGAGGTCTCTGTGCAATTAGCTCAGTGTATATTGTTCCTTTACGTGGGCATGTGTATGTATCTTAATGCCATCAGAGAAAGCCAATAGAACTCGCAGCCTCACTAAAAATTTATAGTGTTAATTATCTGCTTTGTCCAACCTTGGTAGTGACATTTTGCCTCTTGAGATTGGCAGATAAATAAAATAAACTTTTACCATCCAGATGTTCTATGTTAATTAAGCAGACTCATGCTTTCGTGGTCGGTATTTACACAGATTTTCAAATATTCTCATATTTTGTTCCGAGTAAGATTAGAGGTATTAGCTACATTGCCCGTGGGAAAATTTTCCAGTGGGAAAATATTCTCAGGTTTTCTTTCTCATCTTGCATTCTTAAACTTATCTTCAGCATCACTTAAGTTGCTCATATCATATTTTTCAGACCTTATAGAGCAAATATGAAAGCAAAGTGAAGTTCAGTCTGTGTTACAAAAACTCTTGCATTGATTGAGGCTAGACATATACTAAAACTCTTTTTCCCTGCACCCTCTTATTCTTGCTCCAAATGATCTGGAGAAGAGAGGATGCTCAGGCTTAAAGCTACATCAGAAAAGCAATATAGCTTAGGGGTTAAATGTGCCAGTGGAGTCCTTGGGCTCAAATCCTTCCTGCATCTCATGTATACTTCACCTCTTGGAGCTTCAACTTCCTCGTCTGCAAAAATGAGAATAATATCTACGTAGGGGTTTGTTTTAAGGAATAAAGGAGATAGCTTGTGTAAGTATGAACACAGTGCCTTGCCCATTTTAAATGGTCAGTAAAGGAAAGATGTTGCGGTGTGTCATTGACAGTAAAGGCAGTTCATTCTACTCAACTCACCTCTCAAGCAACAGAAAGGCCCCCGGACCCACCAGGTGCGATATTTGGGAAATTGTTTCTACGTAACAAATGTTTCTACGTAACAGTGTTTCTGCATAATCGTGGCAATTTTCATCTCATTTTCTTTATTTCAAATGCCCTTTTTCTAGTTAAAACAGTACATATTCATTCTAGCAATTTTGGCATATTCAGACCAGTATAAAGAAGAAATGAAAAGCCCCCAACCGCATTAACGATGGCTAAACATTTTTGTGTCTATTCCTCCTGACTTTTCTAGGCATATATTTTAAAAGCATGATTTGTTTGGTATTTCATTGGATGGGTAAACCATAGTTTATATAATCAATCATATTGCTATTCTGTTTGATAATTTCTTATTATTGTAACAACATTTGGGTAAGTGTCCTTGCCATGAACAGATCTCTTTGAGCCTACCTATAATGATTTCTTTAAAATCAAGTCCAGCAAGTCTAATGCCTGGATCTATCTAGTCTTCGTATTTTTAGGGGTTTTAATACATATTGCTATATATCCCCAAGAAACATTGCCATAGCTATAGTATTACCACATCTGAGAGCACCTGTTTCTCATCAGATTCCCAACATTGCGTATTATTTTAAATTTTCTTAATTTCTTTTGCCATGCACAAACGCTGCAGAATTTGGAAGGACTCTGGCTGTGTTAAGAGCTCCATGTTGAGAAGACTGAAAAAGCAGGCAATCAACTGTCAAATGAAAGATTCCAGGACAGTGTAAGCTTCAGGAATCCTGAAATGCTTCCAGAAATTCTTTGCTCCCAGGCTTGAGTATAGGCAATGAATTGTTGGCTCTTTGCTGGTCCCAGGAAAAAAGAACTTGGAAGCAACAAAAAATGCTCACAATGGTTCCTCTGAAAAAGACCTAGGGCTTTGACCACAAAGTCAGGAGTGGATTAGTGAATGTGTGTGTGTATGTGCACACCTACGTGCACGTGCGGTGACAGTGGGGAGGGTAGGAGGTAGAGGGAGTGGGAAGGAAGAGGATGGAGTGGAGGACAATGCTGTGATGGAAGAGGAAGACGGAGGTGCTAAATCTCATTGGTAGCTACGAGGACATAAATGGTGAGATCTGATCATCCTCTACCGCATGCTATTTCATAAGCCAGTTTTTATTTTTCTGCTAGTTTCCTCCAACTTTCTCTCTCTCTCCCCTTCCACCTCCTCTCCATTCATGAAGGCTCTCTCAATATAAAACCCAAATATTTTCAAAAATATACTTATTGTGGATGAAACGCAAAGAGCATTTGATTCATTCGAAACATGCACTGAGTCCTGGCTCCACTAAATTTCCTCATCTGCTGAGTGGGGTTGAAAATACCTGCCCTAAAATTTCACTGGTTGTTTTTGGTTTCAAAGGGCACAACGTGTAGGAAGAACTTTACAGTATCAGGAAAATGAAAGAATTTTTTAAAAGCCATTACAAATAAAGAGCAGCTCAGCTGAGAGTGAGAAAAACTTGGTTGTGAATTAGTAGCTGTGTCAAAATTATACCTTAGCACATAAAAAGAAGTGAAAATAAATATGCAAGTACCGAAAACAATTTAAGGAACCCACTTTATTAGCTCTGGCTCAGAATGAAATATTTAAATGAAGTATTTAAACTAGAGATGACTCAAGGCTCTTTCTCTTTTCATATGTCAATATTTATTTTATTTAAAAAGAAAAAGGACAAAATTTTTGGTCAGAATACTTAAGTAGATTAAAAAAAATAAATCTGGGGCTTCCCTGGTGGCGCAGTGGTTGAGAGTCCACCTGCCGATGCAGGGGACACGGGTTCGTGCCCCAGTCCGGGAAGGTCCCACATGCCGCAGAGCAGCTAGGCCCGTGAGCCATGGCCGCTGAGCCTGCGCGTCCTGAGCCTGTGCTCTGCAACGGAAGAGGCCACAACAGTGAGAGGCCTGCGTACCACAAAATAAATAAATAAATAAATAAATAAATCTGAAGGAAGCAGCTTTAATTTACAGCAGTGGTTCTTCACTTGGGCTGATTTTCCTCCCAGGGGTCATTAGCAATGTCTGAAGACACATTTGGTTGTTACAAATGGGAGCACTCTACTGGCATACAGGGAGGATGCTACAGCACTGCCACTCCCAATTAACTGTCCCAAAATGTCAATAGTGCTGAAGCTGAGAAAAAACGTGCATGATATATTATAGAATATTTGATTGGTAATTTACCTATATAACTAACACTTTATGACACTGCCAGTTGCATTCCTAAAGTTTTATCTTATATAACAGTGCCTATTGGAACAAAATTAAGTTGGGGGGGTAAACATGTTTATATTACTATTAAGACATCTGGTGCATAATTCTGTGACCCAAAATCTGATCAAGGAGCCAGAAATTTCCCTGGTTAAGGTTTATTTCTGACTTTTTTTTTTCTGATCCACTTGTCTTTTTCTGTTTTCACATCTGAAGAAATAGACAATAGAGCTTCAGTTTCTGGGAAGGACCTATGAATAAACATATATTTCTGAAGAACTACAGAGCAATATTACATAATATAGTGTGTATTTTCATAACACATCTCTAGTTAGAGAAAGTCAGGATGGTTAAGTTAAAGTAAACTAAGTACAAATTTTCAAATAATCATATTTATGTATGATCAAGTATTTTTGGTTTAAACAATAAACTTAATAAACAGCTAGTGAAGACAATTTATATAGGAAAGAATCCTGGAATGAGAGAATTAAGAGACGTTTTTCTTGTATCAGCTAGGCAATGAGTTCTGTAAGTTTATCTAGGTCTCAGTTTCCACATCTACAAAGGAGAGGGGTAAACTAAATGATTAGTAACTTTCTTTCCATTTGTAAAATTCTGTGACCCTAAATCAGTGTTGAATTGGTAGGTTTTAAAGGAGCCATGTTATACTTCCTGACAAGAAAAAAAATATTCCCTAGAGTTTAGCTCTGCTGGAGCTTACAACCTTCCCTACACCCTAAGCCTATCTTTCCAGGAATCCTTTCTCAAAGTGAAAACTAACTTAATAAACATCACTACCGTTGTACTGCTTTAGGACCAAAAGACATAATCATGATGATGGGATAAAAAAGAAGTTGATGATGTCATCGTTCAGTGTTAAACACTGACTAGAAGAGGTTATGATTTAAAAGATGTTTTACAGAAACGGACTCACAGACTTAGAGAATGAACTTATGGTTACCAGGGAGGGAAGGGTGAAGGAAAGGGATAGTTAGGGAGTTTGGGATTGACATGTACACATTGCTAAATTTAAAAAGGATAACCAACAAGGACCTACTGTATAGTACAGGGAACTCTGCTCAGTGTTATGTGGCAGCCTGGATGGGAGGGGAATCTGGGGGAGAATGGATACATGTGTATGTATGGCTGAGTCACTTTGCTGTGTACCTGAAACTATCACAACATTGTTAATCAGTTATTCTCCAACATAAAAAAATTTTTTTTAATTAAAAAATAAAAGATATTTTACTTCTTAACCAAGCATCTGTTGCCACTGGCCTTTAGGAAGATCCCCAAAAAAGTTGCAACAGGCTAACAAACCACTTGAATCAAATTGAACTATGAATCAGAAATCACTAGGTTAAAGCCACTAATTTGTTAAACCCAGAATGCAAATACAAGTTTTAAAGACTGAATTAAACTATTTGATTCTATTGAAATTTATAAAACATGATTTTAATGGAATTTTCTATCTTACCAGCAGATGTCAGTGCAACCTAATTAACTGAGTAACACTTTTTTTTTTTTAAAGCAGATTAAATACCTGCCAGTAAACTGAGTGAAAACAGTCTTAAAATAGCAGTTAAAAAATCTACTGTCAATGTGTTTGATTAAGAATATCTTCTTAAGTGGAGCTATAGAAAAAAATCAATCCTTCAGAAGTTATTAAGTTAAAACGGGCCCTTGCCTAGGTAAATCATATTACATAAGTTATAACACATTGTTATTATCGTCATAATTTATGTGACAATAGCATTTCTCAGTGACATATAAAAGACATGACCTTAATTAAGTACAAAATGCTAATCTGGGGTAAAGTGTAAGAATAACAGTATTTTAAAAACTCACACATCATAGACACTAGAGCCAAAGGAAACTCATTTGTCTCTGGGTGACATATTTACAGTCCCTGAAGAAACACAATAATTCCTAATGAATCCCTAAAATATCTAGAGTGTGATACCATCTGTCTTCTAGAATGTAGCCTTTGCTTGTAGCAAAAGTTGTTAATCTAATGGCAGTAACAGCAACGTCTATGATGTGGGGAATTTGTAACAGCCTACAATGTAGATACTTGTATCACCCACCTTTGAGGATTCAATAACTGATGTTCAGAGAGGTTAGGTAATTTGCCTAATAAAGAAAAGTTATGCAGAAAGTCAAAGTGACAGAACTCAGATGGCT